TCCGTAAACAAAAGGCTATGGATATAGTTGTTGTCAATTTGTGTTGTGTTTTACTCACATCTGTCCACATATCTTATTTCCACTATCATAGGGCTTTTGCAGATCCACGAATACAATGCAATTCTTTGTTTGTATTAATTTGCTTCACCTTTCTATTTATTTCAAAATATCCTTCTCTTTACTATTTAGTATTTAACCACTTTTTAAATCCTTCTCTTTCTCTTTGGACTATTTCTTGTATTTCATTACTCCTCCATTTCTTTTTCTTAATTCCTAGTGTATTGTGAACTATGTAGTTGTGTATGTCCTCAATGTATTTTCTCTGTAATTTCTCCAAGTTTTTGATCTAGCCTTCCTGATACAATTATTTGCTGTCTTTTTCTTCTAAACTGTCTAAATGTGATATTTCAAATACATTCATATCAGAATATTTATTCATTTTTGCATTCTGTATTCTTTGTGAACAGGTAGAAGACTTTTGCTTCTAACAAATAATCATCAGATATTTGAGATGTTTCTCTGCATATCCCTATGTCTTTTGTATAAGTTTTTAATTATGTCTGATTGTACTAGAATCTTTAGCAACAAAGAGCACAAAATCGCAAAGAATGGAGGAGTTTAAGGGAGGCCTATGTCCAGCAGTGGATGTGATAAGTGAAGGGTGGATGATGACGATAATGATACTGGAATCTATTATTTATCTAATATTCCTTTATGTTGACTCCTGGTATATTAATAATTGTAAAACCTGTTAGTAATTTGTTTTGGTCAAATACCTGTATTGTCCTTTCTCTATTGCCATTTCTCATAACCTTTATGCACTACTGTAATATTACGAGACTTTTCTGTACCAGTACTCCTGTTAAAATGTTCTGGGTTTGGTTTTACAGTTTCTGGTGTGACATCGCTGTTTACACTACTTTTCTCCATTCTTCCCTCTCTTTGATTGCCCTTTCTATTTTAATTTTCATACTCCTTAAGTCTTCTTCCACTCGTTGTCTCCATATCAGTTTAGGTCTGCCTCTGCTTCATTTACCTGGTGGTATCCATTCCGTTATAACTCTTTACGGATTGATCTTCTATCTTCTCATTATGTGTCCCATAACCCACCCATTCTTGTATATCGTGATTCATCCATTGTCTTGCATCCTTTTCGTTTTCTCTCTTTGGTCCCAGTATTTTTCTGATAATCTTCCTCTCAAAAGCTTTCAATTGCTCTTCTTCTCTTGCTGTTAATGTAAATGTTTCTGTAGCATATACTACTTTTGGTCTTATGGTCGTTTTGTAGATTTTCATTTTTGTATTTCGGTTTATCTTTTTATATCTAAACATTTTTTTATTTCTATACAATGCTATATTTCACACTTGAATTTTGCTTTTTATATCTACACTTTCATTTCTTCTGTTGACTAGTACTTCCAAATATTTGAATGTTTCAACCTCTTTGAAACTGAGTGCATCTATTGTCAATTCTGTCATTTTTGTCTTCTTTTTCTTGCTTATGTTCATCTTGCTCTTTTATTTCTTGGAAGGTAATGCCTTTTTATTTGTTTCTACTAAGGTTATATCATCCACATATCCTATTATTTGTACTTCATTCTTGTTTAATAGTTCCTGCATTTGACAACCAAACAAATTTTGTCTAGTGATAGAATAAATAGTACCATCGAGAGTGCATCTCCTTGTCTTACCTCATTTTTTATCTCAATGAAGTATTTCTGTTCTTTCTCGTCTGGTGTCTAATATTGCTTGGGAATCTCACATTGTCATTTCTATCATTCATATAATTTTATTTGGTATATGACTCTCTAATAAGTTTTGGATCATTTTTCTTGTTTAGTTTGTTAAACACCTGTTTAAAGTCTAGGAAAAATATATGTGTTTCTCCTTCATACTCATATGTTTCCTCTATCACTTGTTTTAGTGTATGTATAGCGTCTATCATGGATCTTCCTTTTCTAAAACTGTACTGGTAATCAATCCCCTATGCTTTGTTCTGTATATATTGTTAGTCTGTCTCTAATTATACCAGTCCAAGAAATTGACGCACCATTTACAAAAACAAAAAAAGCGTTTCATTGGTGTTTTAAATTTAATTGTATTCATTTTGTATGGAATATACCATCTATTTGGAATGTTTTTATCAGGTTACTTGTATTGTTTTTTTGTTTCAACCAGTTTCTAAGCAACACAAAACAAGGTGCTGTAAATTTGTTAATGTCAATAAGAGGTTAGTGTCATTTTTCAGTCATTGTGTGAACTATTGATGTTTGGTGGTAACATTTTGCTATTCATTTAATCAAAATGCAACGCGAATCGAGAAATTTGACTAATGAAGAGTATACTCAAATAGTGGTTTTGCACGAAGAAGGTTGAGTCTCACGAATGATGGAAAGTAAAGAGGGACCGGTAGTCACTCTAGGCGTCCAGGACAAGGTCGACATCGTGTAACAATGTCCGTTGAAGACCGTTTTTACGACCTCGCACCCTAAGACAACGATTTGTAACTACCAAATCCCAACTTGAAGATGTTCATAATGTTCGAATCAGCTGTGAAACGGTTCGTCAATGTCTCGAGGAAGGTAATTTGGTGAATCATATACCTGCCAGAGGGCCAGCCTTGACCATAGCTCATCGCAGAACACGATTGAAATAGAGTTCTGTTTACAGATGAGAGCAGATTCTGTCTTTACAATTGTGATAGGCGTATTCGCGTGTACCAACGTCAGAACAAACGGTATGTACAGTGTAACATGCGAGGAACGATGTTATTCAGTGGAGGGTCGGTTATGGTCTAGGGTGGCGTTTCTTTAACGGGTCATACAGACTTGGTGGTGTTGAATGGCGGTACCATCACCGCTCACCGATTTATCGTTGACGTTCTTTAAGGCCACGTTGTGCCATTTGCTCCTTATATTGGTGAAAATTTTGTTCTAATGCAGGATAATGCACGACCGCAAGTTGCAAATATAGTGCACAATTATCTAGAGGAAGTTGGAATCGATGTTATGGAATGGCCAGCGAATAGTGCTGATCTCAATCCTATAGATAATGTTTGGGATTTGCTTGGTAGATGTCTATGGAATTTTCCTAATAACCAAGCACTCTGCAGGAACTGGAACAATGTCTTGTTCAAATTTGGAATGAACTGGATCAGAATACTTTAAGACCATTTATTTTAAGTATGAATGGTCGATGGCAAGCTGTCATTCGTAGCAGGGGTGGAAATATGTCTTATTTTAAGCAAAAAACATTGAATAATTTCTATTTTTAGAATTAGAGATTTTGTTGTTGTTTTAAGATTGTATTAAGTTTAAGAATATTGAAGATGGTTAGTGACAACATCACTAAATATGTTTGTTTTACAAAGTAAAGTAATATGAAATAAAATGTTTTTCATTTCAGTTAATATTTTCCTGTTATATGGTCTTTTAAAGAAGTGCATTAATTTCTTGGAGCAGTGTATGTTAGATTCAGAAAATGAATTGCTAGGTAGTTTTTCTATATCATATCATCTCCTTGTTTTGGGATTACCACTATAATTTTCTTTTTCCATTTTTCAGGCATTATTTCTTTGCTCCGTATATTCTGTATTAGTTCATTCATAAATCTGTCTATATAGTGCTCCCCCCCCTCCCCACCACATTTAATAAGTTCTGCACATATTCCGTATTCTCCCGTGGTTTTCCCGTTTTTAGGTTTATATATTTTCTCTTTCACTTCTGTATAGGTCAATTATGTCGATGCTTTCTCTACCCTTTCTTCCTTTTTCTTATTTCAGGAAGATCAAAATTACTTATTCACTTTCTGTAACTTTTGCCTTTTACCATCTGATCTGTCTTTTCCAAGACTATTACTAGGATTGTTTGTAATAATTTTTTTTATAGATCAAGAATTAACTCTCCAACTAACCCTCTATCAGGTGAACCAAAATTTTTCGCAATTTTGACCATAGATAAGCGTCTATATTCTTTGATAGAACTGTTAACCAGAAACACAGTATAGCATCGAAGATGTCTTACATTACTCCAAGATTTCTACAGAGCAAAATAACTCTTCTTTTTGTTCATGTTTTGTTCTGCTTTTGGGAGAGGAAGAAAGAAGGAACAATATTTTGGTCGTATCTCACACATAATTTAAACAATTGCGCAAATAAATATTACTAAAATGAACAAACCTAACTGAATAATGTAAAAAATAAGGTTATGAAAATATTATTGTCAAAAATTATTAAATGTTACAGTTGTTATTTAAAGGTTAACTAAAGTCAAATTTAAACATTTTGATTACTATACAGATTGATCTCCTATTCATGCATTAGTAGAGCTTGAATTTCTGTTACACAGCAAAACATCTTTAAACATGAAATGTATTGAACAAAGTATTCCAAAATTCCCATATAGTAATGTAAACACTAAAATTATAAATACTCAGGGAATGTTAGAATTCTAAATTATCATCTTGTTTAATTTTCGAAGAGGAGTAGGTAGAATAGGCAGAATATTTGTTTACTTTGTGCTCTAAATTTAAAATATATTGGAAATGCATTCAGTTATCACCTATATATATTGCTCAGTTAATGTTGTAAACAGTTTTTATATCTCCATTAAAAATTCAAAATATCCCAAACATTTTCTCAGAATGTTCAGTTTACAAAAAGTGTAAATAGGTGGACAATGATCTCTAAAAGGATAATTGAGTATGAAAGAGGAGCTAGAATGGAATTAGAACTAATTAGAGTACCACCACGATAATAAAGGAATTGAATAGAAATAAATTATGTAGTTAGTTTAGTTGTTTGAAAAATGGTGAAACATTTCTTGATGAATTTAAAGAATATATTCTGGATTAAATTGATATATAAACACAACATTTCCAACTAATTTATTTGCATATTTACATTTGTTCCGCCAACTTTTTATAGCGTGGTATAAACACTGATTGTTTAGCGGATTTGTCAATAAAGTATCTACTGCTTAATAATGTATAGATGTACATACCCTTCCTTCGCTTTTCCAGTAAATGAAGAATCCATATTCGTCGACTTTAAAAAGTGCTCGTTGCTCCAGTTCTACATTATCTTTGTCTTCGGTCCATCTATCAAACACACATCCAGTCAAAAGGGGCTCAGGTACAGGTATATGCCAATCAAACTCGAACTTCTTTGTCATGTTTTAGGCCTAGTGAAAACCACGATTATTCGTCAGTTCTACATTTTACCGAAATCACATTGTTTATATTAAAGAGAAATTTGTTTATTTTAACATTAAAATCGCATTTATATCGATACTACGCTCTAGCTCCGCAAGGCCATCAAAACCAGTACGTTTATCGCGAAATAGAATGAGAATGACAGTTCAGCAGTTCAGCTAAACGCCAAGCGGAAGGGTAAGGGAGGAAGAAAAAACACGACCTTGACAAAAATTATGTCATGATTTGACAGTAACTAGCAATGTTGCCGCTGCGAAACATTTGCACCTCTAGTGGAAGATTCTGAAACTAAACGGTATGGCGCAAAAATCAATCTTTTAAATATTTAAAATGAGTGGTATAAACTGGTAAATTTTGTTAAAAACATTAAAATTGAACATTACTTTTTATCCTTATAGTTAAAAGGCCATATAAATTAACATTAAGATCAAATGTAATCATTTATATTTTTATAAAGATTTCGTTAAATGTTACGGTCGTAAGACAGAAAGAAAGAAAGAAAGAAAGACACACTAGAAAAGTGCCATGTGACAAATTTACAGTTAAATGAGGGAAATTATTTGATCAAATATTAGAAATTGAAAACTTTTACATACTTCGAATTTTAAAGAAAACAATAACTTCATATCCTATTATTTCTACATCTAATTAAAATCATTTGCCGATATTTCGTATAATATTGTAATATCACAGTTTAACCACAAACAGTTAGGACACTCTTAGTCGGCGCCTTTGAAGTATAAAAGTATCCAGACGCCATATTGAAAACAGACTAGATCAGTTACGGACTGGCACAAGTGGTTAGAACAAAGACGTGTTTATATTATTTCAAAGTTAGTAAACAAGGAAATTTGGATTAATTACAATCGACAATATTTTAATTTAATTATTATTATCAAAATGTTTTATTTATTTTATATAAAAATAAATCTTTTCTACCATAGCCAAATAAGAAACTGAAAAACTTATATTCCAAAACAACAAATTATTTCGGGAGGCAATTTTGTGTGTAAACTAATTTAAATAGACTTACTGTTAACTTCTACAACAATAATTTAACAAAAGTAAACTTACAAAAAACTTTAACAAGTAAAAATGATTCGGACAAAAATGACGTCTTGTTTGCTTAGCAGGTTGTCGATTTGAAAGTTCCTCAGTTGGGTTTCTTGAACTCTTGTCTTGATCTGTTCCAAGAATTTTTATGATTGTGGTTTTTAAATCATTATAAGAGAGCTGTTTCATATCTTTTCTTCTTTTCAGATGTTCATTCAAAAGACTTTAACCGAGTAATATCGTGAAATGTTTTTGAGACAAAGAACATTGACTATTTGCGCTTTTATAAAGAACATATGCATTTTTTCTTGTTATATGTTAACATAAAATACAGCCAGGGGCCATCTTTTTTATTATAAGTTTTTTACTTGCCTTTTTAAATTGCATTTACTACAGTTTCTATCTAGTAGAATGGTTGTGAATTTAAGATTTTTTTAGTAGCAATGGTACTTGTTTCTTTTTAAAGTATTTCATACAGTTCTAGCAGTACCTAATACCAGTTTCTTTTGAAATTAGAACGTGCTGTTACAAGGAAAATTAATTTCAGTTAGACTACTTACGGCAGTTTTAGGCTGTTCCTGTTCTTCATTAATTGCACGAGCTAATTAATTTTCAAATTTAAAAATAATGTTGTGAATTGCAGATTTTGATGGTACAGGGCTTTCGAATGAAAACGAAAACCTAGCGGTTACATCGTTGGCCCTACTTCCAGAATAATATCATTTAATAATTTGAATTTTATGTTCAGTTGTAAAGGTTACCATTTTCCTAACTGGAAATATCAATTACTTTATTTTTTTGCGAATAAAACCAGAATTAGTATTTATTTATTTATTAACGGGATGTTTCCATTTTTTACAAAACAATTAACAACATAAAATATCCTAACCGTAACATAAATACTAAAACTAAATATTAAATAATTATTAAATATTGTTAAACAATTATTAAATTACATAAATTAAATTTTTATAAAAATAATTTTAAAATGAAATTAATATCCCCAAGTTTTTTTAGACTTAATTAAACGAAAAATAAAACTCGACGATAAAGATATAAACAAACAAATCACGACAGATGACTCGACTACACGTCACATTAATACCAGTCGGGTGTCACTAGCGTTCGGTCTGTTTTCAATATGGCGATATGGCCTGCGCTAAATGATGCGCGTACTTTTTCCCGCCTGTCGAGTGTCCATACTATTTCTTTTTTATACTATGGTAATATTGTGTTATTTGTTTTTTTTTAATTTAATTTTTTTTATTTGATATTTTTCAGAAATTTCGAACGTCGAAACGTTTTGGTACTTGTATCGAAAACTGTGTAGAAATGTAATCAAAATTATTTATGTAATCAAAAATTCTGTACAGTTAGCCAAAAACAATTGTTAAAAAAACACCAAAATTGTTGTTATGGTACAATTTGCCATAAGCATAAGATTTCAGATTCATCGGTGATAAATAAAAATAAAAAAGGAAATTTAAATATATTTTATCTGCTTTGGATCGATATTTATTGCACGATGCAGTTATTTTGTGAGTATGCGCTTTTGGGGGATAATTAAAAAGTTAAGAGTAACGAATATAGAGGACTTGTAACAAGTGCCTGTAATATTTGTTGCATAACCATCAGGCTAACATTGGTTCAGACCTTAGACAATAAAAAAGAAGTTCAGACGTTTCTTCTATGACTGGATAGACATTACTTAGAAATCGACTTTTATAACAATAAAATTCGAAAGCTACTGGACACGAACACCTACAAGAAATTTAAACAAAATTTCCACCAGAATGGTTCGGAGAAATACTATAGCCCAGGCTGTGGGAAAAAAGGGTGATTTTACACTGTAATCCAGGAATTTATGTAATGTGGACTAGGTTATAAAGGGCAACCTCAGGAGCAATCCCCCAGTTTATTCAAAGAAAAAATTTTTGGTTATTGTTTATTTATGAGCGTTTATAGGTGAAAAATACGTATTTTTTGAGTTTTTTTTTATTTTTTGCTCAAAGTAGGTGTTATTTCTAGGGTAATTTCTGTATAGATTATGAAAGTACTCTAAAAGACCTTCAATTTGAGCGGTATAAGTTCAATTTAATTTATTTGTTATTGCAAAAATGAGGAATGGAGGTCAAAATTAAAACGTAATATTTATTGCAAAATTGCTTTTTTTTCGCAACTCTCTCCATTACAATTTTCGCACATTTTAGGCCGTGCTTACGGCATCCTCAATGTTTGCCATATGCGGTTTCGATGCTACATTGAAACAAGGTAAACTTTATTCGTCATTTTTAACAATAAATAATTATTTTAATTTAAAGAGAATACAAATACTTGAAAATATAGATTTTTATGTAGTAAATGACGCCGTTTCTTAATTGTGACATTGATTATAAACCACTACCAGTAGTGGTTTATAATCAATGATTGTGATTAATAAAGCCTCTGTGATTAAAAAATAATTATGCTAACTCGGCTACTATTATTCGTAGAAAACTCTTTTTTTTAATCTTCGTCTCAAAGCCAGGTACAATTATCTGCAAATTAGATATTTGTAGGGTACATAGGGGGCGCTGTAGCTCTAAATGTTTATAACTGCAATTTTACAACTTCATAAATAATTTTTTTTAACGGGTTAAAAATTTTTTCATTATTTTCCAGTGGATTATGAAAATTTACTTATGAAGGTAAATGTAGTTCCCATTAACAACGGAACGGCGGACGACACTGTGATCTTAGCCAAAAATATTAAAGATCTTCAGAGACTGGTGACCAGAATAGCGGAGTATGAAAAAGAATACGGTCTAACAATGAACGTCAAGAAGACGAAATTTATGAGAATATCGAAAACTAAAAAAAACAACGAGAATCTTCTAATAAACGGAACCAACGTCGAATAAGTGGACAAATATGCATATCTGGGAACAATGATTAACTCCACAAATGATTACGTTCAGCAGATCAAAATCAGAATAGAAAAAGCTAGAGCAAAGTTCAACAAAATGAGAAGAGTGATATGTACAAGGGATTTAAAATTTGAACTAAGAGTTAGGTTTGAGAGATGCTATGTCTTTTCGACTTTGTTTTATGGAATCAAATCTTGGATCTTGAATGCGACATCAATGAAAAAACTGGAATCATTCGACCTGTGGACAGAACACGTCATAAACAAAGAGGTTCTGAGAAGAATTAATAAAGAAATATAAATTTTAAATACAATTAAAACAAGAAAATTGAAATATCTCGGGCATTACACATGGATAGAAATACACCTTGCTCCAATTGATTATACAGGAAATATTCAAGGAAAGAGAAGCATAGGGAGGAATAGAATGCCAACCTCCGCCGCGGAGATGACACTTGAAGAAAAAGAATGCTAAGATGAAGCAAAGCAAAGTAAAAACGTAAGAAGCGATGAAATACTTCAGTTTTGCCTTAACAATACCTTTAAACAGTAAATGACAAACACCTTTTTCAAGACAATATAATATAAAATTTCGAACTTACCAAGTCAGGAAATAGAAATACCAAATTTATCAATAATAAATAAGACACCAATTTACTGCTTGAAACTTAAACCCAAAAATTTAAAGGTAAAATAATGACTTCCTTATAAACATCAAAATATTTTGTAACATTGTACACGAATTTATCTGAACTTCGATAAGAAAATTAAAATAATCGTAAGCCGGATATTATTGCTAGTCTATTAAAAACGCCGTTTATAAAAAGGAACCAATTAGCAATCAAGCAAATTGGAATACGTAGTTGATACCACCGTTTCTATCAATGTCATACACTCCACTCCAACTATTTTATCAAAAATTTGGTGCAAAAATTCTTTGGACAATTGCTCAAGCTCGTTGTGATTCAGTAGATGATAATTCTGAAAGTTTGTGTACCATTATAACCTAATCTTTTTCTACTTCTTTTAGCTTTCTAACTCTGACCGTTGATTGAATATTCCAAATCAACGCTCTGACTAGATATTTGCAGATCTAGTGTAAATGAATATCAATACTTATGAATAAACACATTCACAGTAAACTCATACAGATAATCCACATATTATAATGGAACCAAAGTACCATAATTCAAATTGATGGGCAACAGTTGGCAGAAATGAAGATCTGTTAGAGGAGTTACACAGGGATGCGTTTTATCGCCACTTTTGTTTAACTTATATTCCGAAGAAATTGTCAAAAACATGCTCAATAATATCAAAGCCCGAGTTACCGCCACTCCTAACATGCAGAAATTTTAATTTGGAAATCAGACTATGTACCATTCGATGTTATATTTTCAATATTATATGGCAGGGTCACGGATGAGTCAAGAACGGCATCCAAGGCGACCAAGAAATACTTTTGATACGGCGAAGATGACTCATGGCACTACATGGCACTTGCCTGCTTAAGAAACTAAAAAACCTTTTTAACATGTCCTTTTTGGAGATACAATGAGATACAAAAAATTTTATTTTTTACAAAAACATTTTTAAAAGCGATATACAAATTTCTTTAAAACGTAAAACATTTGATCAATGTGTTTGCCTCTAATGACCTATGTTCCAAAACTTTGATACTGACAGCTACAACTTCTAAAACGCTGCAAATAGCTCAGAAGAAATAGAAAATGGAAAGGTCGATGCTAAGTATATCGCTTCATTACCGAGTTAGAAAAGAAGACCTAAGAGTCTTAATTTAAGACGAAGAACAGGAGGTACCGATGTAATTTCCCGAATTGCCACATGAAATGGAGCTGGGCCGGACAGTTCGTTTTATGTCAGTTTTCATTGTAACATTTTGTCTGTTGCTTTGTATAAAAAAATGTTGTTTTTTAGACACGATATTTATTGAGCGAACTCGTATATGAACATAAATAAGATAAATAAATACCTACATCGCAATATTTTTTAAACATATTTCTATATTTAATGCTTACCTTACTTTAACCCAATTTTTTTTGGTTGCCTACATTTAAACTGTATATCTGTATCGATATCGTCACTTTATCACTAGAACAACGTAAAAAGTGTGGATTGTTCCTTTGAATAAAAACGAAATATTACAAACCTTTTAAAAGAATTACCGTGATGATTCAATTACCGTGATTAAACTAATTACATTAAATAATCAATAAGCAAAAGCCATATACCAATGGATTCATTTTATGTAATCAGAGCATATTTTCACCAAACGTACGAAAATAATAAATTCGACGACAATATATATGGAAAAGGATAATGCGAGTGAATAATTAAAAATGTAACGGCATGTCTCGCAAAACAGAAAACCAAAAAAGGTATATCGATGGAAGGGAACCGTATATACGTATTTCTGACTATTGGTCGTCTTCAGTACGGTGCAATAACCAAGTTAAGGTCGATTCAGACACATCAGTCCCGTCACAGTCCCGACGCCGAACCGGTCCTGTTTGGTCACAGAACTATCAACTATATGACAGCTGGCAAACTGTTCGTCGCCTGATGAATGTGAATGCCGGCGCCATATTTCTATTAAAGAATATTTTGTATGACGGATTGTTCGGTTCGGCGCCAGGACTGTGACGAGACGTGACTGATGTGTCTGAATCGACCTTTAGTTCGCAAAAAAGCATGTCAACTTATATACTTAATATGTATGATTTATTAAAGTCTAACTGATCTAGGAAGGATCCTTGTTTTATTTTAAGGATTTTACATTTTTACTTGTGTGTGGCTTGATGATTTGATATTTTCCAAAGTTGAAGAAAATATTCTTTTTATAAAAGCTGAGTTGAGCAAAAATTTAATTTGAAAGAGTTTTTTGGTGAACAGTGAACTGTTAGTACATATTCTTAGGTTTTTATATATGTACTTATACTATATTATTATAAAAATTTGTCAATTTGTTACCTTATAAGGAATTGATTGGTTGTCTGATGTATTTAATGTTAGGTTCTAGGCCAGATTTAAGTTTTTGTGTATCATATTTTAATCAATTTCAAAATAACGTACACTGAATAATATTGAAAAAATTTGAAAAATGTTTTGAGGTACTTGAAACACAGAATAAATTTAATAACAATCAGAATAACCACTCTCCGATGCCGCCTTTCAAATGTGTCAGCACGCGAACGCCATGTTATAGACGGAAACATAGACTCGAATTGAGAAATTTGTGACAAGCTACGACAGAACTGTAATTTAAATTTTTAGAGATTAATAATTTAGTACATTTGAAATAATTTAATCTATTCTTCAACTAAAAGTACGAATAAAATAGTGCATATTATGTCTGTAGTTGCCGTAAATAAATTAAACCGGCTTAATTTGTCTATGCACACCAGATAAAATGTCACTGAGCAGTACTGGTTCCGTTTAAAACATGGCTGATTCCGTCTGAGCGAACGAGATGCGCGTACTTATTTTTTCAAGCAGAGTGGACATTCTGATTGTTTGATTCTGATTGATTATTCTGTGCTTGAAATCTACAGAAAATTATGTTTTAAGATTTGTTAAAGATAGAAACAAAACAAAGGTAGAAACGCGGATCACCTGAGGACATGACACAGGTCAGCAGCTGTGTCATTAGTGGCCCGTGGCTGAGGCATACAATTCCTGACAAGTGCGGTACCACAAAGTCACAGGCGAAAATCAAATACTGATTTAACCGGCTGTGATACTGCAAAACTTACCAAACCGTCCGGCAAGTGTGGTGTTTTAATGCCAATATACCCCTTAAAACACAACATGTTGAACTTGAAATAAAAACCATGTTGGAAGTTGTAGTTTTAAAAATTTTTTTCATGTTGGAAGAGATTTTTAAAACTACATAATATAATGTACACGTGTATGAAGATAACCAATTAAGATGGCCAGATTTAAGTTTTTATTTGTCATATTTTAATCAATTTCTAAATAACGTACACTGAATAATATTGAAAAAATTTGAAAAATGTTTTGAGGTACTTGAAACACAGAATAAATTTAATAACAATCAGAATACCCACTCTCCGATGCCGCCTTTGAAATGTGTCAGCACGCGAACGCCATGTTATAGACGGAAAAATAGACTCGAATTGAGAAATTTGTGACAAGCTACGACAGAACTGTAATTTCAATTTTTAGAGATTAAGAATTTAGTACATTTGAAATAATTTAATCTATTCTTCAACTAAAAGTACGAATAAAATAGTGCATACTATGTCTATAGTTGCCGTAAATAAATTAAACCGGCTTAATTTGTCTATGCACACCAGATAAAATGTCACTGAACAGTACTGGTTCCGTTTAAAACATGGCTGATTTCGTCTGCACGAACGAGATGCGCGTACTTATTTTTTCAAGCAGAGTGGACATTCTGATTGTTTGATTCTGATTGATTATTCTGTGCTTGAAATCTACAGAAAATTATGTTTTAAGATTTGTTAAAGGTAGAAACGCGGATCACCTGAGGACATGACACAGGTCAGCAGCTGTGTCATTAGTGGCCCGTGGCTGACGCATACAATTCTTGACAGGTGCGGTACCACAAAGTCACAGGCGAAAACCAAATACTGATTTAAGGTCGATTCAGACACATCAGTCACGTCTCGTCACAGTGATGGCACCGAACCGAACAATCCGACATACAAAATATTCTTTAATACAAATATGGCGCCAGCATTCACACTCATCAGTTGACAAACAGTTTGTCAGCTGTCAGATAGTTGATAGTTCTGTGACCAAACAGGACCAATCGACCTTTAACCGGCTGTGATACTGCAAAACTTACCAAACCGTCAGGCAAGTGTGGTGTTTTAATGCCAATATACCCCTTAAAACACAACATGTTGAACTTGAAATAAAAACCATGTTGGAAGTTGTAGTTTTAAAAATCTCTTCCATGTTGGATAAAACTACATATGTATAATGTACACGTGTATGAAGATAACCAATCATATATTAAGATGAATTCTACATTGGAATCAAAAAGAACCGAACATATTGATTTTAGACATCATTTTATTTTGAGAATGTTTGGAAAAGGAACTTATTGTATGATCAACAACAAGAGGACATTTTTATAAAGTCATTTTCAAAAACTAAATTCACCTATTTTAGGGAACTTTTCAATGTTGATTTATAATAGTTTTGTAGTTATAGTATAGAATTGTATCATACTTATGTTAATGTAGAATATGTCAACGTATCGTTAAGTATTCCATCTATAAGCAGACTTTTTCCATCACGCGTCCTAAATACCGCACGCCAGATGTCCATTGATGGTTTCCAGGTTACGTTATGGGAAATGTAGACTCAAATTAAGCTGAGAATAACAATTGGGACTTACAAGAATGGAGTAACAATACACATACTGCAGCAACAGCAAGAGATTGGTTTCATAATAAAGATATTAAACTTTCACCATGGCCAGCAGAATCGCCAGATCTTAATCCTATCGAGTATGCAGGAAATATGCTTCAGAGACGGATTACACATCATCTGCACAATGTTCATACTAGACAAGGTTTTTAAGATCTTCTTACACAGGAATAGATCCTAGGCGGCGCAGAATAGATCCGGCTATTGGAGGAAACACGGATTATTAAACACACTTGTTAGATTTTTATGTTTTATATTAATTTTATGTTAAAAATATCCATTAAATTAGATTATTTTATCATAGAGAAATCATATTACACTGAAATTGGGATGAATTCATTGCTGACTAATCAGACATTATAATGGTATGTCACTTTTTAAAGTCCGATCAAAACTGATGTATATATGAGGAAAACCTTTGTGTTCATTGAACATTTTTGATGTATGTATTTTATTTTTATTACTCTCTCATGCCTAAGGATGCAATATACATATAAATAAACCTTTATAGAACGGATCACAATGCAGATCACATGTAAAAAATTACTCAGTAATAATCACATATCCGTACTAAAAAATATAAGATCTGCTTCTGCGATTAAGTCCTCTTCTGCTTCTTCTTTGGTTTTGCCGACGCCTAGCACTGTAGCTCTCTCACCTAAATGCAATGCCAATATATACGGATCAGTTTGGAGCACTATTGGATCATAATTATGTCCGACGCTTTTTAATTTTTCAAAAAAATCTGTTTCATTCACATCAACCTGAAAAATATAAAGTTTGGCAATATTAATAAAAAGTAAACGAATATTTATTTAACTATTATTAATTTACAGTGCTGGTTCTATCTTGCATGGTGGAAGAGCTCTGAACTGAGTAGGAGCTTTTCAGCACTTCACGGAAAACGGACTGGGCGGGGTAAGTCCTCAACCCCGACACGGCGCATTCCAATGGCTGATAGGAAACATTCCTGTAGATATGCAGGACAGGTGCGAATAAGGTCCAACCAAATAAGTATCCGCGATCAACTGAGGGCATGACATAGGGCAGCAGCTATGTAATTATTGCACTGAAGCTGTATGATCCATACAGGTCTAGTGTAAATTACTCACAGGCGACAACTACATCTTAGTTCAACCGGCTGTGAGACTGCGATCAGGCACGCAACGGGAAACCAACTGATTATCTTCCCAGAGAGCATTATGAAATGACGACTAAGCAAGAAAATGTTGTGCTCTGCACACCGAATAGCAACCGGCCATATCGATTCCGCGTCGAATGGTGTGAAATGGGTGACCAGGCAGATAATTGTGGACGACCAAGCGATATCTGCGAAATGGGATACTGGAAGATCAAACTTAACATTACGTAAAAAACACTGGTGTAGGGGCTGCTACAGTCAGGTAAATTGTATATATTAGAAAATGAACTGATCAAGGAGAAGATAGATATCTGTGGAATATCTAAGACACACTGGGAAGGCCAAGGACATTGGAAGGCCACTCACTACAAAGTTTTTATGTCAGGAGCTAAGAAATCAGGACAAAAAGGCGTAGCAATATTAATTCAAAAACGTTTAATTAATTCAAAAGAGCTTCTGTCTCCGGCTTCTATATAACATGTAGCTTCTCCATTTTTAAAAATTTTTAAAGTGTTTGTTTGTCTTTGTGTATTGTATTGTTATGTCCAAATTTACATGTATGACATTCTGCTCATGTCGGATAGGCCACAACTGACGATATGCCCCTGAGGATGATCTATTGATCGAAAGTACTTGGGCAAGATTTAATTAATTACTTTGTTCGACATTTGCCTTGTATACCATCAAAGTTTAATTATTCGAACATTCAACCTTATATTGAAATTATGAATAGGCTAGGCACGGTAAGTACGGAATATGGTTTGAAAATAAATATGCAGAAAACCAAAGTGATGATCATCGATAGAATCAGAAACAACCAGGCATAGATAAGAATCTTGGCAGGTTACGAAGTGGTCAAGAAATATAATTACTTAGGCTTCATTATTACTAATAGTGGAGGATGCGAATAACGAGATCCATCACAGAGAAAAACTCACAAAAATTTGGAAGACCACTGACATCACAAAAAAACACAAAATTATGCCTTGTTCGAGCATTGATATTTCCTATCGCCACCTATGCTTCAGAAACTTAGACAATAAAAAAAGCCGATTCAAAGTGTATTGTTACGATTTTAAATGTTATGGCATATAGAACTGTAAATATTTTATGACTAATTCTTTTATTGATTCTCGTAATTTCTAGGTCAAAAATCTACCTGAATCGAATGTTCTGGGGGCGACACGCCGATAAAGAACATGTTTTGAGACCAGTCGCCGCTGTGTCTACATCGAGAACAGCATGGTATTTTCTACACCTTTCTGTTTACCGGCTTGGAATTATATAAATAAGGGAAGACTTTCATTAAGGAGTCAGTCATAAGAAGCTCGGGAACCGCGACATTTGAATGTAACGAAACGTTAACAAATTATTTGTAATATAAATTAGAATTAATAAAGACTTTAATAAATTCGTAATTAGTTATCGTGAGTTTTAATAAATTAGAATATAGACAATAAATTAGAATAAAGACAAATAAATTAGAACTATATAAATATGCTACAGTATAATAGCATTGGAAATGTGGGTCTACCGTAGAATGTTGCGCATACGATGGACCGCCCATCGCAGAAATAACTAAATTCTAGCAGAACTTAACCTAAAACTAGACTCATCACAACTATCAACCAAAATATACTGAGATATCTTGGACATATATCTAGAAGAAGAGAAGGCATCGAGCGAATGATAGTTGAAGGTAACGTAGCGAGTAAAAGATCCAGAGGAAGATCTCCAGTACGATGGTCGGACCAAATAAAGGAGTTAACTAGTTACACATTCTCCGAAGCAAAACAACACGCACAGAAGAGAGATAATTGGACAGAAATAGTCAAACACATTACATGACGCCACCACATCCCTACGAAGGGAAAAAGATTGAGGAGGAGGAGGAATTTACGGTGCTGCATAAGACTGACTCAGTCCATGAGTTAGTAAGAGGACGAATAAGAACTAATTATTAGAGTTAAAGCCAACAGATATAAATGCAAAGAAATAATAAGTTGTAAACCCATGCGTACATTATTCCATTGAACATAGGGTTCAATAGAATGATTCAAATATAGTCCTAAAAGAAACGGATTGTAAAAAGAGAAAAATCGTAGAAGTGGCTCTAAGTGTGCTAAATGAGACCAATTGTGTCGCAAATTTCTCGGCAGAATGTAGTAGGATCTGGTTACCCATATTAAAATAAGAAGTTATTAAACAAGATTGAAATGACTTTAAAATACAGATGTTGCGGTCCTCATAGCCGAAAATGCGGATCTAGAAAATGTATTGACAATATTTTATGCACAAATTAACATTGCAACTTGTGCAAAAAAATGAAAAAAACAAGAAATGTTATTGAAATATTTTGATTTGAAGTTTTGAAAGCTCCAGCTCTAGTAGATATTGGAAAGCAATGAAAGAATAAACCACAACAGTAGCAACTTAAAAATACTAAAATATTGTAAAACAAGCTCTAAAAACAGGCCAAACCTAGGATTTATTTGCTTTTTATTACTTTACCTGGAATTTGCGAAAATTGAGTTCTGGATGTGTCGTCTCTATTTTTGACTCCTCTATTTTTGGTTTTTCTTTTTCTCTTGCTTTAATTATTTCATTGTATTTATCTAATACTTGTTTGATGGTAGGAGAAGGTTTGGGATTTATCCTAAAATAGAGAGATAATTTGTCACAAAGATTTTATCACTAAACGCTTAAAACAATAATTGGGGACCTTGCTGCAAGAATGGCGCAGCTCTATTTTTGGTCAAATTTTAGTTTGTAGATACATATTATGTAAAAAAATTAGTTGAATCGATTGGATCAAGAAAGAAGCAGGTCCATAGATCCATTTATAAATGGTAAACCTATAACTGTTTATGTACCTGCCTCCGAAATTGTTTGCTGCAAGAAAGATGCAGCTCCGCAGCTGCCCCTTTATCTAAAAATGCAACTTGCCTCGGACTACCAGACATTTTATTGTTCATGTATTTTCTTAAAAAATGCCACTGTTTTGAAACAACATTCTCATTGTTACCACTCGCAAGCATCGCATGTACGTTTCTGAACTGCCATAAAAGATGTCAATGGACCCATATTATTTTTTTCCAAATTGAAATAACTTTCGACTTTTAGAACTAAACGCCGTTCTTCTGGAGATAACGTAGATATTTTCTTTTCTTCCAAATTACTCATTTTGCTTTAAAGTACAGTTTCACTAAACTACTATAAAAATAGGTACTTATATACAACTACTACACTCTAAATAGGACGAGGGTTGTAAAACAGACGAAACAATTGAATACAAATTATTTAACAGCCAATGCTAAACAAGCATAAACAATGCATTAATTGTGATTGCAAAAACCGTTCGCATGTTTTAAATAAGATTTTTGCTGATTATGTGTTTTGTTAAATTATTAAATAACACCAATACAACCCCCGACCATCAATTAATTTTTAACGATAAACAGAAGAGAAATATGATGACGTTTGAATTTGATCTACTCTATCGATGACAGTGTCGTTAACAGAAAGATATTTTTAAATATCATGAATAATTTTTCAATAATTGTGTAGATTTAAGAAAATCATTACGAAACAAATTTTTAAAGTGTGTATAAAGGAGATTTCAATTATTATGACACATGGTATTTACACCTTATTTTTCAAATAATATGTTCTTGTAAATGCATAACTTTGATTATTGGGTAAACCTACATTACACGATACGTCAAAAAAAATTCAAAAAAAATTAACATGTTATAAATTCACTGTTTATATAAATATTCCGTACTCGTACTATTGCAATAAAATATTAAAACCAACAAACGAGAACTTGTTGAGCAGTGCTGATTGAAACAACATAGCAGTACAATGTTATTCATAAAGGTAGTATAAAATATGGTGAGGTGAGGTTCACCAAAAACATATAATTAAATGAGACAAATAAATAAAAAATAAAAGCAACATTATTATATCTAAATTCTAAAATCAATTATTTATTCTCTTTTAATTATTCTAAAAATTAAAAAAGACAACTAGCTTTATTAGCTGTAGGTACTTGACGGTCAAGTCCTGACCTGTGTCACTAGCCGTGTGTAGGATTCAGGAATAGGTGAATATCATTTTTTAAATGCGAAATCCATCTACATAAAGGTCGATTCAGACACATCAGTCACGTCTCGTCACAGTCCTGGCGCCGAACCGAACAATCCGTCATACAAAATATTCTTTAATAGAAATATGGCGCCGGCATTCACATTCATCAGTTGACGAACAGTTTGCCAGCTGTCAGATAGTTGATAGTTCTGTGACCAAACAGGACCGGTTCGGCGCCGAGACTGTGACGGGACTGATGTGTCTGAATCGACCTTAAGCGTTCACGGTTACGGCAACGTGACGTCAGCCTAATCTTAGTGATAGCTGAGAAAACTGGCGAGTGCAGTTCCACCAAAAAATATTTTATCCCTCTTTAACCACTGTTGGATGTGTATTTGGTATTACTATTTTTCGGAAATTTCTCTCAGCGATAATATTTTGAAATTTAGTCTCTTATATTATACCTCCAAATTTCACTATTAAGGCGCGTACAGGCTAGCACACGAATGCGATGAGAAGCCACGCATATGCGTGCGTACTCAAACCATTCGCGCTCAGAGCATTCGTTGAAATTAGAAATCACCTCATATGAATGCGTACTCAAGCCGCTCCATCCATTCTGAAAAATGTCTGAGGAGCTGCTTATGGTTAGTGCCGCGTTTGTTGTTATTAGGTCATTAAAAAAGAAAAAATAAAAAAAAATAGGCGATGGTAGACGACGCATTTATTTAAAAGAAGAACCCTACAAATGAAGTCCGATTTACTAGTAGATTTGGCGTTAGAACCTAATACTGGACAATTTCAAAATTTTACATGTATGTCAGTAGAAGACTTTGAACGCCTTTTAAATAATATAGGCTCCGTAATAAAGAAAAACGACACAGTCTTAAGAAAAGCCATACCTGTTAAGGATCGTTTTCTGATAACATTAAGGGAACACTCTGTATTTTTTGTCCCAATAAGTTGGTTTTTTTATTACCGCTTATAGATGTACCACATTTGTATATTTATACTAATTTTTATTTTTAACCGGCATCTTAAAAACCTTGGTAGCCCATTTTTTTTGCAGCATTAAAAGTTTGACGAAAAAGTAGCACAGGTTCCTTAAAACCGCAATGCTTTATCTTCCATAACAACCGAAATAACCTATAAAAACGTCCGAATTGGGACACCCTGTACTTACTGTAAAAACACAATACCTTTTGCAAAAGACCCAAGTAAGCTACTCATTTTCTTCTTCACAATTGCTGAACCTATATCAAGATTTCTTGAAATTGACTCCCATGCATCTTCTTTTTTTGTTTTTGAATAATAAAACTTATTTTTGGGATCCCACAATATATGTGGGAATGTGGTATCTATGAATTGCAAACATTGTTCATTTGACCACTCCATTTTACAGATAAATCAATAAAATTAATAAAACTCAATAAATCCGAACTTGTCTTGCAAATGCAACAAATCCCTACGCTATCCGTCTAAACTGAGCGCGATCGCACACGTATGTTTCTTTGATGTGTGCTAAAAAACCGACACCACTCTGGCTCGCAGCATGTGTGCTCAAGTCATTCGCGAGAAGCAACGCATGCGACGAGAGGTTACGAAAGCGCCGTCCACATTCGCACACGTATGTGTCTTCGTGGCTGCTCACCGCATGCGTTTGTAGGTCTGTACGCGCCTTTATAAGTATAACCGTTCAAAATATACGAGAGAGGAAGGAGACTTTTGGTTAGCACTGTATACTGTCAGTTTACGAATTAAGAAATAATATTTATAAACTTACATTTCGCAAGCCAATTTTGCAGCTTCATTTCTTGCTATTTTTCTATCTGGTCCTTTTCCAATACTTTTCTTACCCGCATACCGACATTCACTGGTAAATGTACCATCCTTTTCTCGCTTATCGGTAAATATTGGAGAAGCTAACCTGTTACTCTGGGCGAGTTCATTTAGGCGAGAACAGTAATCGAGAAATTTAGCTTTATCGTTTGCCAGCAATACAAGGGCTTCTTGAGCTGCCTTTTGTTTGGCTTTCTTTTTTGTAGAATCAATGCCATTAGCTATAATGCCACCTATTTTTACAGTACATGTCCATGCGGTGCATCCTTCTTCATGAGGATTTACATAAATATAAATCGGCTTCTTATTGAAACACTTTTCTAAAATTGTAACATATGACTGGTGCATTGGGTTCATTGTAATATCTACAAAGGAAAATTATATGTTATCAATTGAAATCTCAGTTTAAACATAAAATTAACAATAACAAACAAAATCTAAAACAAAACATGTTTGAATAAGTTTTAACCAAAATATTGTTACGAACATGCGTTCGGCGTGGCCCATGTAACGGTTGCATCTCGAAAGCGCCGAGAACTTTCCACAGATGTATCGAGCGCGGGAGAGGGTCGACCCGTCAAACAACGAATTAGAGGTGGGACTACTCCAGATGATTCTGGAACAATACTTTTGGTGTATATATGTAAGGATGATATGAGTTGAGTGTAGTTGATAAGATATTCTCGTGCTGTAAACTTATAAATAAATATATTTATATAATTTCGAACCGCTCGTTTTATTTAATCTCGCCACAGTTGGTGTCCGGTGTGAGATTTCAAAATAAATTACGCAGTGACTTTTGAAAAAGACTTTTAAACTTTTGAAAAGTATTGTTCGTCCGGAACATCCGCGTAGTTCGGTAGTGATCTTTGTACGCAAGAACATTTAAAAATGTACGTGTGTGCCTGACCAAATATACTGCGAGTAAAACTTTCAGTAAGACAGTAAAACAAAATTTGAAAATGTCTCGCAAATAATTAAAGAAACTTCTAGAAAAAATGATGATAAATTAGAGAACGTTTCCAAAAGATTTGATGATATGTCTCAAATTATTAAAGAAACAGCTAGACAAAACGACGAAAAATTTGAGAATGTGTCTAGAAGATTTGACGAGACCTCTCAAATAATTAAGCATATATTCAGAACAATGAGAAATTTGAAGAAGTTCCAAGAACATTCGATAAGATACAGAAAAATGTAAACGACAAGATAGAAGACGTGGAAGAGAAGATCAAACAATTAGAGACCATGATAACTAACACGAAAGTGCTATCCGTTAATACGGTAACCTTAGATCCAGTTGTGAAAGAAGAATCACCTAGAGACGAAACGACACATCATACGAAATTCAAATTACCTTATTAGACAATTTGAAGCTAATCATTGGACAGAACAAGAAAAAGCTGTTTCCTTGACTGCTGCTTTACGAGGTGAGGTCAAAAAAAAACGGGTCCAGACCTTGTTCACTCGACTAGTCTACAGGGTACAGATAAGAAGTAGAATCCAAGGAGCAAGTGAGAGTTTGCAAGAATTTGAAGCAGATGTTGCTCGTATAGCGCTGGTGGCCTATCCAGAGGCACCAGACAACATATTTGAAGAAATTGCTGAAGATACCTTCATCAATGGGTTGAGAGACAGTAAACTACGGAAAGCTTTACTACTAGTAAGACCGAAAGTTTTGTTTTGTTTTAATGTGTTGAAGATTATTCCGAGCTCTGTCTACTATCATGACCTTTATCTTACTCCTATTTAGCTTTAGTCCATATGTTTTACTTTTTTACTCCAAACATCTCATTATGTCTTCCATTTCTTCTTGATTTGCCGCAATTATTAAAGTGTCATCACAATGTTGATAGTCCTACGGAAAGAGTAGCAATCGACATTGCAGGTCCACTTTCAGAGAAGAATGATGGAAATAAATATATCCTGGTAGCCATGGATTATTTTCACGAAATGGACTGAGGCCTATGCGATACCAAATCAAGAAGCTGCTACCGTTGCAGAGATACTTGTTAAAGAATTATTTATCCGATTTGGTGTTCCATTGGAGATTCACTCCGACCAAGGGCGAAACTTCGAGTCAACCCTTTTCCAAACGTTTGTAAATTGATTGGTGTCAACAAGACCAGAACGACACCCCTGCATCCTCAATCAGATGGAATGGTTGAAAGGATGAACCGAACGATGGGTAAACACCTGTCCAAAGTTATATCAGAACATCAAAGAGATTGAGACCAGCACATTCATTCACAACATGTTGCAAGCGAAGATTATGTCGACCGCCTGAAGTTAAGAATGAACAACATTCATGAACTTGCCCGACAACACATCCAGTTAGCCAGTTACAGAATGAAAGATCAATATGATTCTCGATACAAGAATAAAAGCTATGAAGTAAGTGATCTTGTTTGGCTTTTTAATCCACAACGTCGTCGAGGCTTGTCTCCTAAATTGCAAAGACAATGGGAAGGTCCGTCTGAAATTAAAAAGAGAATAAATGATGTAATATACCGAATTAAGAAGTTGCTGACAGGTAAACCAAAAGTAGTTCACATAAATCGTCTTGCACCTTATGCTGGCTCAAATGAAACAGAAGAAGCACGAAACCTTCAACATGAGATCAAAGATGACCAGCGACCAAGCTTTAATGAATTTATGTCAAATTACGCAGAGAGAAAGAGTGTTAGATTTGGCGTTACGACAGAAGTTCCGCATAACGTCTCTATAGCACACTGTGTTGCCCAAGATCTTGAGATGACTAAAGGAATCTCATTCCTTTCACCCCGTTTGGAGTGTGAATAGAAAAACACTACTTTCTTTTATTTTTTTAATTGGGAAACTTTTTCAAATGTGCTCACTAGGCCCTTAAACCTATTAGACGTCACACACATTTTGCATATTTTTGGTAGCCGATTAGATAAATATAAATAACCTAATATAGCAACCTAACTATAAAGCCTGAAAACCTCAAAACGGTTTCTATTGACCCTGTTTTACAGTATATAATAATTATTTATCTATGAATTTTACACAATTATATCTGAACTATAAATCTTATTTTTTAATCTTGAAAACATAACAACTATAATAGTAAATTGTACAGAGTAGGTACATGAATCACTTTAAAAACAAATGTTTGTTTTATCAATTATTGTACTGCTTACATAATATTATCAAATACATTGGGAAACGGAGACCAATTTTATTACCTACTGATTACTGAATGGCAGCTTTATTTCAGTAGACATTCACGATAACATTCTACAGAATGAGTCACTGCTGACACAACGTTATATTATGGAATATCTTCAGTGATGAATATTAAAATGAGTACGGATATATGATATATCTTTCTGAATATCAAATAAATCAATAAGTTTATAAGTGGGATTTGTTTTATAATCCATAAACAAATTCCAAAAGCCAAATCACAATTTTAGTTATACGAGAATAAATCAGCAAATTTACTAAGATGTAAATTGGAGCTGGAAGGTCAGATAATAGAACAAGTAAAAAAGTAAAGTTCGTGTAACCTTCTGGCTAAGGTCTAGTGTTAGGGTTTTGAGGTCGCGCAGGCCCCCTAACATTACTTAACGACTACTTTCGCAGCCAAAAATATAAAAATATTTGGATGCACAAGTATCAGCGCAGGATGCACAGAAAGGTAAAAATATCAGAGCACTACCGTGACTATGCCTTTTGTAGAAAGGGTTCCAGAAACAGTAAAAGAGAAGTGGAGAAACACCAGAAAAGTTAGAGATTTTGGACAAGAAGTGGATATTCGCAAATAAACCATTGGAAGGCAAGGAATAAGACAAGTATAGGAAAGACTAGTTGTGAGACGTTTTGTACCAAAGGAGAGTTGTTTATTATGAATATTGGGAACAAATACGGCGTTCAAATAAAGTCTTCCAGCTAAATAAATCATCACTTTATGGGCTAAAGTAAACATCAAAGTGTTGGAATATCAAAATAAATGAAAATTTACCTAAAATATATATAGAAATAAAAAAAACATTAACATTGAAGGGATATTAGAAGATTAATAAAAATTTTAAACAATCATATTTTACATAGATTCTTACATATAATATTGAAAATTAGAGGGACTATATTACGAAAAATAAATAAAAATATTAATTATTAATAAAAAATATATAAGATCGATGAATAAACTTACATTTTTGTAAAAAAAGGCGGGATACACTGCCCTACTGGAGACGGTAACACCTAACGTACAGCTTATAGAAAATCGACTAACAAAGATATTCTTGACTGAAAATTTCCCCTCCCCCGCCGCTAACCCGTCGCGAACTCTTTGGGATCTTGTGCATGGGATATTAACTATAAATATTAGGCGGTAAATTCAAAATTGATATTGCGCATAATAATATCTAATGTTTTAATATATCTATGCATTTGTGTATTAAATGTATACTATACTTCCGGACACATTTGTATTATTTAAAGCTATTTTTTATTACAGTTTTTAATGCTACTTCACCTTCTTCTGTCTTGTACTTCTCTTTTTCAATTCAAGACATCTACCTATCTCTCCTGCTTCTTTTTATCAGTCTCAACCTTTTCTACCTATTTTGACCTTGATAATTATCTCCCTCTACTTACTATGGGCCTAATAAGCAAACCCTTCTTTGGCCTTCTTCCCGCTGTTATTTTTCGGGTATGCAGCATCCAAGTCATTCTTTGTGCCTTGACATGTCATAATTTTAAGCTACTTCATCTTCATCCTTCCTCAATGTTTATCCCTCCCAAAATGCTCAGCAGTTTACGTTCCGATCATTTTAGGCGCTCCTCCTCAACTTTATTAACACACAAAACATTTGTTAACAAACTAAAACTGGATTAGTTCGCTCAGAAAATTTACTGTTTAAGCATTAGATACAGTACAGTAAGTATTTCTCGTGTTGAAACTTTTTTTGAACCACTTTTTTTGAGCTCAGCTGCCTTTGAATGTGTCAAACCCTGGAGATATATTTATATGCATTAAGATATTTCTGATCGTCTCATGCAACTATTTGAACTTGACGAGTTGTTTATGATATTTGATGAGGAGGGGATGATTCGATTAACACAAACAAAATAGGCACAGAAAAATATTTATTTCAATAAAAAATACATAACCTACGTAAGTAATATCGTCTTAGCGTATAATAAACGTCTTATAGTTATTAAATAAATAAAAGGGGAGTACACTAGTATATTACACAATAATAGTAATAATAAAGAAATGATAACACTTAATAATAACTCGATAATAATAACAATTCTATTTCTGATTTAACAGGGTCGCAGTTTTTGTTGATACATGCGTATAAAGGATTGTAACAGAAAAAAAA